GTGGGTGATGTCATACTATGTAGATGATGTCACATCCTTCTAATAACCAAAAATATCCTTACTAAAAAAAATACTCCATGTACAAAACAAGGGTATATAAGTGCCCAAAATTTGTTGAGTACAATTATAAATTACTCTATAGTGTGAGCACCCTAACATAACCCATATATATATATATATATATATGAAAACTCTTAAACATGCCTATAAGCGATTTTGAACAATGTTTCACCCCACCACGAACATGTTATGTCCTTGGCGGTCATGTCCATGGCGATTTATTAAACGGAGCCACAACGGACGGTGTGTGGTCTGTGGTGGTTTCCACGTGTTTTTTGACCGCCATTGGCATGCTATGTCCGTGATGTGGGTACCGCCACGGACTTGCTAGGTTTATGGCGGTCTTTAATCCTCAGACAGCGCCGAGCCTATTGACGAAAACACTGTTCATTTTTGCTCATAGGCATTGCGTAGTGGCTTCTTTTATATATATATCAGGTCGGTTTGTATAGAGCCGAGGCTCTAAACAATCAAAGTAAAGTGCACCTTCAAATAGTATCAAGAAATGCGATTTCAATACTGGAAATCTTTTTAATAGCCTTAAAATATATTTTCATCTTTAATTATAAAATTTAAAGCTTCAAAAATAGTGTAGATCGAGTAGATCTATAAAAGCTTAAAAATCTTGAAAATTGACAATCCAAAAATGCGTTACAAGATGTACTATTTCCAGAACTTTAAATCCATTTTTTTCTCGTGTCCATGCATCTTGATGTTGAGATGATCAATTTGAGGATATTTGGGCATCAAAACAACCCCTTCGAGTGAAATTTTTTAGATAGGCTCTAATTTGATTGTTTTTCCATATATATATGCACATGCATATGCTCACAAGTTTATAATGTAGAATAAGCCTGTTGGAGTTAGAGTAGTTTGTTGGACCCCAAATTTTGCACACATTCTCATATATATCACGCAAAAAGTGGTCCAAAATGAGTCCACTTTTTTTAGTGAACGCAATATGTCCATATGATGGATAGTAGATCTAGGTGCTTGAGAAATCTGGGTTGGTTTTTTCTGTTCTTTGTTCTTTTGAAATTTTTTATACACGCATGCATTCATACATAAAGACATATTTGTGATAACTTCTGTATCCTGAATGCTAAACTCTTTTGACATTTTGAAGTGCGCTACATCTGATCCTGATGGTCGGAAAAGGGCACTCTTGATTGGTGGGGGCATTGCAAACTTTACTGATGTTGCTGCCACGTTCAATGGCATAATCAGGGCATTGAGGGAGAAGGTGCGGGTAGCATTTACTATTGGATATTTATGCCCTATGATGTAATTTTGTCACTATAAACAGGGGGTATCATTTGCAGGAAGCAAAGCTGAAAGCATCACGAATGCATGTTTATGTTCGTAGAGGTGGTCCTAATTATCAGACGGGGTTAGCAAGGATGCGAGTTCTTGGGGAAGAGCTTGGAGTTCCCCTTGAGGTAAAATTGACCACGTGATTGCTTTATTTTGCTCAGACCCGATTATGGGTTTCTGGTGAAAATTGAAATTACATTGTGGTCTCATAAAAAATGTTGGAAATCTTCTTGCTTTGAATAGAAAATTTGTGCTAAAAGTGTGTCAAGAAATGAGCACAAATGAGATGCATCTGAGTCCTTTTGGTTACCATGCTGTGTGTGCGTTCATACACAAAATAGACTCAAATGTTCTGTTGCATGCATGCAAGGGTGTCAAACCTTTGCTCTGATTTTGTTCTTAAAGCCAAAAAGGTGGAAACTGTACGTGCAAACCTTGCTTGCGAAGCTATCAAGCTAGATGACCAAAGAGCCCTTTTCTTTCAGTACTTTGTCTTTCATTCTTTTCTTTTCTTTCTTGTAAGGGTTCAAATTGGCATAGTTTTGTCTAAGATATATTTGTTTTTTTTCAGGTCTATGGCCCTGAGGCAACAATGACTGGAATCTGCAAACAGGCAATTGAGTGCATCATGTCTGCTGCATAAACATTATGTTCTTCCATTGTCTTCTCTTTTGATCTTTGATCCCATGGACTGCTCTTCATCATCAAGGGGCATTTAATAATCCAATAAGGCCTGAATCAATTGATAGCTGGTCTTGTATGACAGTTTTCTGCCATTTAATCTGAATCCATTTTGTAGATTGTAAACAGGACCACTTATGGACTTCAAAAGTCTGTAGTGCACAAACAAAGACCCTTTGATATATCTTTTATTGCTCTCCATGTGGTTCTTTTCTTTTCTATATTTTTCATGAACTTCAAATTTGGGTCTTTTGTGAATCCTTGAGGTGATAGTTGAAAAGCTTTCTAGGGAGACGGCTTTTCAAGGTGAAAAAGCCTTGTCATATGGGAAAGTACTTTCCTACCAAAATAGGTATAAAAGCTCTCACAAAAGCATAAATTACTGGTGTCTTTTTGGCACATTCATGTCTTTGTGCTCCGGTGCTAAAAATTTCACCCTAGTCACCACATTAGGGTTTTCATTCCTACTTACACCAACCCACTAACACCTTGAAAAAATTAACTCTTAGGGTGTGTTTGATAACAGGAAGTTAGGGAGAGGAAGAAGGAACTTCCTATTACTATGTTTTGTGTTTGATAAAAAGAAAATAAGTTATATTAAGAACTTTATGAAACTGTAAATCTTCCCCCTTTTAGGCCAAAAAAAAAAAAAGGTTGTGGAAAACACAGCGTAGAAAAAGAACTGCTGCCCCGTGAGAAATAAGTTCTTGTGCCCCAATAGTTTTCCCTAATTTTTTCACATCCCGCTCTCCTCCCTCTTCTCGTAGACCACACTTCCTCTTCACAGATCTCGCCATCGTCTCCCACTTCTTCATAGATGTTGCCCCCTTCACAAACCTCGACATCGCCTCCCGCTTCTTTGCAGGCCTCTCCTGAGCCTCCTCCTGCCTTCTTTGTACCTCACCATGTAAGCTCGCATAGCTGCCATAAGTTTGACTAAAACTCATCCACATTTAAGAACCACCAATAAAAATACAAAATCAGAAATTAGGGCATTTTGGGAAAAATGCAAAATACGAAATTGGATGTGAAAGTTATACAGTATGGGAGGACTTCGGTGTAATAGGGTTAAATTAAAGGGACATTTCCTTTCAAGTTTCCTCACTAGATTTTCTATTTCCTATTGTTGTAATTTCATTGATATTTTTCTAAATCAATTATTTTGTTTTGCGTGGCAGCAACGAAAGATATATTTGACCTTTGTTCTAAATACGTCAAATCAAACAATAAAACACATCATCCCTATCCCAAGCCACTAATAAATTATATTGATCTATTTATAATGTTTTAATGTTTAAGTGCTATTTATGATAGCTCTATTGTAACTAAGCATGTCTGGATGCTTTTATACGTGTATGAAGAAGCTTGCAAACGAAAGATCATGCTTCGAAAACAGAAGTTTATCTTCATGTAGTTTTTGAAGTTTTTATTTGATATAGAAAATGAGAAAATGGTAGTAAAAACAAGCGTAATCTGGGCAACAAAGTTTCCACGACGGAGCTTTCAATTCTACCCTGGCATTGGAATCGATGAATCATGGTTCCCCAGAAGTATTGGAATAAAGGTCGTCAAGTGCCTTTAACTAGAGTTCCGTAAGTACTACAGTTGAGGTAGACTGAAGTTTCTATATTGAATAAATAAAGCAAGATTGATTGATTTATTAATAATGAAAAAAAGACATTTATTTTGAATTCTAGACGTTAGGTAGAATTTTTAGACACCCATCGTGATGTTAAGTAGAGTTTCTAGACACCTACCTATCCTTGTTCACTAAAGAAAGTACAATTTATACATAACAAATTCCAAAAAATAGGAGGTTCCATATTTAAAAAATTTCAAGCATTCCGTGATATTTTTGCAATCATTCCACAAGGGAACAATGACGTTTACCTTGGTGCATATAATATTTAAAAAATCCCAGCATTCCAAGATATTTTTTCAACCATGCCACCACTAGGAAATAATTAAGTTTATTTTGAACCCAACACTTGTTAAAGCGCGTTAACATGATCCACTAGGGAATTCATGTTTCAAATGTTTTTAATAAATGGAAGCGAGATTCTATGACTGAATCATGGTTTGGTGCACCTATGAATCTTGGAATTTGTTGTTGTAGAATCTGGATCCCAAAAAAATCACCTTGAGATTCCTGAAGGTGAAAGCAAGATTCCTAAATTCAAAGGACCGGATTCTACTAAGATTTGTTTGACCAAAGCACCAAGGCGAGCTTCTGAAATCGAAATGCCACCTGGGCTGGAAGATTCTGGTAAATATGATCACTACAACGAAAAAGGAGAGTTTTTGTCTTGGATTCAAATGAAAGGTAATCGATGATAATATTTCTAGCCAAAATCAGTTTTAAATTTAGGACAGCTTCAAGGAAAGCTTTGACCAAATTTTAGTCGATTTTGACCAAAAGCCAAGCCAATATGGGTAGCATATGGATGTATACTGCTGTAACCCTTTTTGGTTCGGGTGAAATTTGCCACGGTTTATGTTGTGAATAATAAATACCAAAGGGTACTGTACTAGGGAAGTAACGAACAAAGCGAAGGAATATCTAGAAAACGAATTCCATTGGGTCATAACTGCCCATGAAATGAGAGGGAATGGGGCCATCAGAAATCGAAATGATTCCAATGGGCGATCCAGTTCTCTCTCCATAGAAATCCATTTCAACAGACAGTGACTCTTTTTCCACAATGGATACAATTCAACAATGGAATCTGAGCGGTATTTGATATGATTAAGGTTTCCAGGTTCAACAAACTTGCAGTTAGAAGCAAAAGCTTTGTACGCTTTCTTCAAGCAATACTCAAGGCTTTGTACGCTTCCTTCGAGCAATACTCAAGGCTTTGTACGCTTCCTTCGAGCAATACTCGAGGCAGTCTGGGCTCATGTGAATGGCCATGTCTCTGATGATGGAGAATGAGACCAAAGATAATTCTTCTTCTCTAGTTCTCCTCAAAATTGAAATGCAAGAGCTTCATCCACAGTAAATAAACCTACTGTACAACCCTGCCTTACTGCTCTGTTGAATACTTCAACCCAGTGATTTAAAATCGAGTCGCAACGGACTCGCCCGAGTCACTGTACAACCCTGCCTGACTGTTCAACCCAGTGATTTAAAATCAAATTGCAACGGATTCACCCGAGTTACTGTACACCCTGCCTGACTGTTCTGTTGAATACTTCAACCCAGTGATTTAAAATCGAGTTGCAACGGACTCGCCCGAGTCACTGTACAACCCTGCCTAATTGTTCCATTGAACCGCTTGTATGACGTCATGCACAGGTGAAAGTCGCCCGTATGACGTCACATAGCAGAGTCAACACGTTCGATTTTTCATAGTTCACACGTAGAAGACTACAGTTACACACTGGGCACGTGTGGATGGCAACTACGGGCACACGCGCTCGAACACCCATGAACTTACAAAGCTATTTATAGAATCGAAATTAAAGCTCGCTGTTGGATGTTGGATAATTCCCACGATGTGTTAAACTACAACAAATTTTGGATAAGTACTATTAATATAGTTAATAACTATACATGTGCTAATGTGGCAGAGTGGTTATCATTTTGTTGGTAGAGCCTTTAAGTCTCAAGTTGGTCGATTCCTGCTTTGGTTTGTTGACAATCATTTTATTTTATTTTATTTTGGTTGCTAATAACAAATTTATTTATGTTGACAATAAAAATAAGCAGAAAATAATTTTTTTTTAAAAAAAATTAGAGTTTAGGGTTTAGGACAAATCCTATCATTTGCCTTTCCTATTGCCATAGCTGAAGTCAAGAATGAAGAAACACAACTTCGTAGCACATTGGGAAGCCATGAGAATAAGCAATATGTTAAAGAATAACCCAAAAAAAGTGCAACTTGAAGTACTTTGAAGTAACATCCAGTACATATCTATAAAAAATTAAAAATTGCACCCAATTGCATCTAGCACAGATCTCTAAATCGTGTTTGGTTTTAATCAATACCTAACAAGAATCCAAATCATTCTATTCAAATTTAATTCAACCATTTCGCCACATAATGAACAACAAGGACATATCAAAAACACATAGCATCACTACGGAAACCATTAATCCATGCTACAACTTTGTAGCACATTTTCCAAAGACTATGGGAAGCAATGAGAATAAGCAATATGTTCAAATAACAAAAAAAAAAAAAAAAAAGCAACTTAGAAGTACTATGAAGTAAGATTTAGAAAAAAAAATAATTGTACTCCATAACATATCGTGTGAAGTTTAAATAAATACCTAAGAAGAATACCAAATCATTCTACTAAATTTTAATTCAACCATTTTGACACATAATGAATAACAATAACATATGAAGAACACGGAGCACCACTACAAAAACCATTAATATAAAAAAAACGATCAAGAGAAGCTTCAAAGTTAAAAAAAAAAAGCCCTAGAAAGCAATAAACAAAACCCATTTTTTAAAAGAATATAATGGAGAATCAGGATTCATGTGGTGGAACCCAATGAATCGGAAAAAAGCTAAAATGATGATGATGATTTCCGAAGCATATTGCATTCAAACATCAAATTATATTTTATAATTTGATAAAATATAATTTTTTATCAAATTATATTTTAAATTATTACAAATAATAAATTTAAAACTTTCTAAAATCTCATCCATATTTTTTTTCGCTTTTTATTTTAATTTTACCGAAAATAGGCGACGGTTTACTGTTTTAAGGCATCAGGACAACTGTTGTTAAGCGGCCTTGTGGCAGTTAAATTAGAATTGTGACATTCGAATAAACCACGTGACACCGCATTTCTAAAACAACTATGGGCCGCTGAGGTTTTTGAAAAGTTTGGAATCTATTTCAAATAATAAAAAAAATTAATGTATATTTTTAATAATTATCCTTTAATTAATTATTATTAATATTTTTTGTTTTTGGTGTCTGTTATACAGAGGAATTTAACAGATACAGAGGAATATTTTTTCTTTTTGGTGTCTGTTAAAGGAAGAAAACGCATGGTAATTCCTCGCTTTGCCTCAAGAGGTTTGGTAGACAGTCCTTAAAACTAGTCTAATATATCTATCTACAGATGAGACGAGAGAGAAATTGAAAAGCATCAATCAATTAATGAATCAAAGGAATCACGGGTTGGTCAGGAATTGGAAACGGAGGATGATGATGCCTAACTGAAAATGGAGGACACGGTGATCATGTGCCTCGATTGCTGGCAGCAACGCATGGACAGCATTTTTCAAACAGAGAGAGTGCTCGTCTCCTATCTCCATCCCCACCCTCATTCTCCTCTCCCCTTCTCCTCTAGGGCTGTATGCCAGGTACCTCTTTCTTCGTTCATCATTTGAATTCGAAAAATGCCATGGAAGATGAATGTTGCTGTTTACTAATGATATCTGTGATTTTTGAGTAACGATGACTATAAAGTATGGTTTTCTGAACCCCTTTCCTGTCTATAATAGAACTTCTACTGCATCTGTATAGGACACTGATGACAACGACCTGAACTAATTGAGGGGCTTAGACTATTTGATTGAGCAATGAGCATCGCTTATAATCAATAGTTGAGCTTCTTTTAGGCTTGAGGTTGTGGGGGGTTGGTGTTTGTTGGCGGAGGGAGTGAAGGATTGGTGCAACTCATAAGAGACACTAATGTGGGAAACCTAAACTAATTGAAGGGCTTAGACAATTTGATTGGGCACTCAGTATCGTTTATAATCAATAGTTTTTGCCCAAGGGCAGGGGCTGTGTTTTGAACTTTTTTTTCCTTTTAGGTTGGGGGTTTTTGGGTTTTTTGGGGTTGGGGCATCCTAGCTTAGTTGCAATTAAGGAAGTTTAGTTGGCCCATTCATTTTCTTTAAATGGCATAGGAAATGCTTTTGTCTGCCTTCGAAGTCAAAGAAAGAAGTGCTGTGGTGTGTTGTTTTTCTCTAGGCATGTTAACGGGCCATGATAGACTTTATTCTTCAGGGCGTTAATTATTGTCTTATGCAAGGTCCTATAGCTTGGATTAGAATGTTGAGCATTTGATGTACACTTTAGGTGCTTGTTTATGTGGTTGTTCTTCAAAATTGAAGAGAATCACCTGCTTGTGGAATTTTAAAATTTTGGTGTTACATTGATATGCTTCTTTAACAAAAATTGGCTTCTCTTTCTTTTTTTCCCTGCCTGGGTTTAGGAAAAGTTATGACTCTAGTATCTGTTGAAGGAGATCATATGACCACCTTACATCTCTCCCATGTCCTTAAATGAATTGAACAGACTTAATTTTATTTTTGGTTTGTCCCTTTTTTATTCTTTATTTATTTAACGAAAAGTTTGGAGTCGAGGAGTCTATAGGGATTGGACACACTCCATCAAATATGTTGAGTTCTTGTATGTTCTTGATTCAATTGATTATTGATGGAGCCTCAGCCTGAATGTGTCTTGAAGGACACAATCAAGTATGCTAAGCATTGTCAAAATGGGTGGAGGTTGCACAGTTTTAAGGTTGGGGAAGACTTGGCCTTCGTGATTTTTGAATTGAAGGAATTGGGGTTTTTTGCCGCATTGTGGAAAAGCAGAGTTTGCTCTCCTTTGTGTTGTTCTTTATTCAGTGAATATTCATCACTCTAGCAAATGTAAAGGGGAAAATATTGAGAAGACAATTCTTAAACTGAAATATTGAGATTGTTGCCTCTTCAACGCTTTCCTTAACTGATAAATCCTGCCTATATTGTGGAATGTAGATTCAGTTGACTGAGAGGGTGGATAAGACATCTAGGTATGCTGTTGAATAGTTTGATTTGCTTCCTTTCCATGGAAATTTTTCTTTTCATTTGCTTCCTTTTCCTTCAACTCATTTTCAGTAATTCATTCGACATTTGTTCTGACAATCTTCTTCATCTGGTGTGCGCTGATGCTTTTCAGCAAAGAGGATACAGCCGAAATCATTCTGGTGGCTGTTGCAAATCATGAAGGCCAGTGCTTGAGAAAATACATGTAAGTGATCTTCTGTTCATATTTAAATTTTCAGTTGTGGAAGACACATACTAGAAATTAAGGTTGCAGGAGTCCTGTTTGTGTCGCACAACACGTGCTTGTAAATAGCCTTCTTTATAATGGTCGTTTTTATTGGCAGAGGTGGACAGGTTTCAGTAATTGTTGAGGGGAATAAATTTGGAAATGATCGGAAGGATCTACCAAGAGATTCTTGCTGTTGTCTGAACCACAATGGTGGTGCTTTGGGGGTAGTGGGATGTCAGAATCCCAACATTAACTATTGTGACAGGCTCCTTTATTTAAAGAATATTGCTACGCTAGGACCGATTGCAAATGTTGGTACTGCTTCCTATGCAGCAATTAAGCACCTTGTATGCAACTTCTTATCTTCCTCGATTGAAAATAAAACATTGGAATCACTCAATCTCCTTCTTGAAGGTAAACCAACCCGGGAGGCTGCAGAGTTTCTTCATTTAGTTGGTATTCCTGACTTTGGTGAGAGTATTACTTCCGGTTGTGTCAGGCATCCTAACATAGTGCCCAATCTTGGGCTTCTGAAAATAGATGGATATAGTTTTATGTTGTACCCAAAAGCACCTTACACTTTGGAGAATATTTTGCACTATAGCCCTGGGGCATTAAAGTCTGATTGGCATATTAGATTTCTTATGTATCAAGTACTCTCCGCTTTGGTGCACATGCACAGTTCAGGTGTTGCCCATGGTGCTCTAGACCCATTGAGCATAATGTTGAAAGATTCATGTTGGTGTTGGCTGAGTTTGTCAGATGGGCGGTGCTTAAAAAGTCACCTTCTGCACTCTGGCGGCGAAGAAGAGCTTGTTGGTTCTTTGTCGGTAAAGGTAACGTGTTGCATGCCTCACTGTTCATGTGAAGCCATGTATAGTGATTTGAAGTTGTCATCTTCCATAGATTGGACTTCTGATTTCAAGAGGTGGTGGAAAGGTGAATTAACTAATTATGAATACCTCCTTACTCTGAACAGATTGTCAGGGAGGAGGTGGGGAGACTGCACTTTCCATACAGTGATGCCCTGGGTGATGGATTTCAGCGTGAGACCTGATGAGCACTCTCACTCTGGTTGGAGAGACCTCCAAAAGAGCAAGTGGAGGTTGGCAAAAGGCGATGAGCAATTGGATTTTACGTATTTAACATCAGAAGTGCCTCACCATGTCTCAGATGAATGCCTTTCTGAGCTAGCTGTGTGCAGTTACAAAGCTAGAAGGCTTCCCTTGAGTGTATTGCGCTGTGCTGTTCGTTCGGTTTATGAACCCAATGAATATCCTGCTACCATGCAGAGGTTGTATCAATGGACTCCGGATGAGTGTATTCCTGAGTTCTACAGCGACCCTCGTATTTTTCAGTCTATTCATTCTGAAATGAGTGATTTAGCTGTACCATCTTGGGCAAGTTCTCCTGAGGAGTTCATTGAATTGCATCGGGCTGCTCTTGAAAGTGACCGGGTTTCTCAGAAAATTCACCATTGGATAGACTTGACATTTGGCTACAAGCTCTCTGGTGAGGCTGCTATTGCTGCTAAGAATGTCACCTTGCCTACATCTGAACCAACAATGCCCAGGGCTACGGGACGTCGACAACTCTTTTCCGAACCGCATCCAATGCGCCTACACTCTTCCTGGAGAAACACACACTATCATCACAAACAAGAAATGAACACTGCATGTGAGATTCGAGAAAATGGAAGCAAGACGAATTTTAAAGCTATTGAAGAAGCTGAGGATGTTAACCATCGAGGAATTGATTATCTTGAGGCATTGGAAGCTGCAGCATCTTTCTGTGAACATTTCAGGAATTTGAATCCGTGCTACACAGTCCATCCTCAAGGTTCTATTGAGAATATATGTGAACAGTCAACAAAAGCACGAGCTGAATCGGTAGTTGTGCAGGCTCCTGTTCATGAATCATCATGCATTGGCTTAAATGGGCTCCTTGAATATTTTGAGAGTGAGGATGATGATGAAAAGGGATTTCAAGAATTGCTAATGTGGAAGAAGAAGTCGTCTTGCCAGGGATCCTATTCAGAAGATATGTCAGGAGATATATTTTCCATGGGTTGCATTCTAGCCGAACTTCATTTGAAGCAGCCACTATTTGACCCAATCTCATTAACTATGTATAAGGAGCATGGTAGTCTACCAGGATTACTACAAAAGCTTCCTCCTCATGTTCAAGTCCTTGTCGAATCATCACTGGAGAGGGATTGGAAGAGGTATTCATATCCATAGTTCACATGCCCAACAAATAAGATACATGGCGAAATTTGCAACGAATACTTCTTAAAATTGGGAAGCATAGAACACGACCAATTACCTTTGGTACAAAAAAATCACGATCAAATTCAACTGTCAGATGTGAAATTGGACAGCTGGGGTGTATTATTGATCACTCTTGAACTCCGAAAAAATTTCCATTGGACTTCATGTCGAGAAATGATGAATCCCAGCCATCCTATTTTACAGCTGATGAGTTGGTGTTCGTGACATTTGTCAAAAGGTAATGATCTCCTTGTTTACAGTCCTATTAAAGTTATGGGAAAGAACAAACACACACTGATGATCCTGTTCACTGTAACATTTGGTGGTCCAGGAATTTAGGCAAATGTTTGAGTTGTTTTATTTTTTTAGAGCCAGGTGTTTTAGGCATTTCTTAGAAATGTTTGGCAGTTAAGGTATTAAGAAAGTTCCTCAAGAAAGTTCCATATGGATTTGCATACTAAAGCAAACCCTTTATTAAAGACACAGTTTTGACATCATGGTATACTGTTTTTTTTCCCCTCATTATCGAGCCTTGATTCTGTTGTTATTTTTACGCATCAGGAGGCCTTCTGCAAAATCTTTCTTGGAATCACCTTATTTTCCCCCAACAGTCCGGACTGTTTATCAGTTTCTTGCTCCGCTTCAATTCATGGCAAGTCTGGGTTCTCGTCTACAGTATGCAGCCAAATTGGCTAGAGAAGGGGCGTTGCGATTAATGGGTTCATTTGCTGCTGAAATGAGTGTTTCTCACTGTCTACCCCTTATTGTGGACACATCTTCAGATTCTGAGGCTGAATTAGCATTTTACCTGCTCAAAGAATTTATGAAGTGCCTGAGGCCCCCTGCTGTAAAGACACTTATATTACCCGCCATCCAGAATATTCTTCAGGCCAGTCACCATTTTTAGGGTTAACTTATAACTATGATAAACGTTCTTTTTGGTTCATCCTTCGAAATTAGACATAAAGTTCATATTCTTAGGTAATGCCTTCTCATTTAAGACTATGATCATTTCAGACCACAGAATATTCTCATTTGAAGGTTGCTCTTCTCCAAAACTCTTTTGTGCGAGATATATGGAAGCAATTGGGTAAACAAGCATATCTAGAGAAGATACACCCTTCAGTTATCTCAAACTTGTACATGCTACCTCACAAGAACACTGCTTCTGCTGCGTCTGTCTTGTTGATTGGTTCTTGTGAAGAACTTGGAGTGCCAATCTCTATTCATCAGGTTAATTTGCATTGATATGCATTCTTCATGTAGCTTGATTTCCGTTTATAAAGAGTTATAACAAACATAATAGTGTGGTGTATCTAAACTTGCTATCTCTCAGTAGACAATCATGCCCCTGGTGCGCTGTTTTGGAAAAGGACTTGCGGCTGATGGCATTGATGCCTTGATACGTATTGGTAACCTCTATTTCTTGGGTCTATGTTATATAGGGGAATGGTTTTATGCAACTGTTTTGTAGTAATATAATGAAAAAATCTTTAAAAAGCATTCTAGGGCCCTTTGTTTGACTCCAATTTATTATGACCAATTACTTTAAAAAAAAAGAAAAAAGTGCACCTTAAAAAGTGTTTTTCCATCTTGTGAAACACTTGGATCTAGGCCTCGAAGGTTTTTTTAGATGGCTTTATTTTTATTACATGAACAATGTTAAAAAAAGAAGAAGCTGATTTTGAGTTCGTAAAAGCCTAATCTCATTGTTCACGAAATAAATGGTTTGGATTCATTGTTTGAGAGGGACTCATTTTGACCACATCTAGGGCACAAATTGAATTTTGATTTTTATTGGGATTGATTGTTGGGATGAAGAGAGTGCATATGCAAAATTTGGGTCATATCAAATACCATAAACATGATATACTAGAAATGTGGTTTCTTATATATATATATATATATATATATATATATATATATATATATGACTAGTCT